ATCAAACTGTGAGAAAATGAGTCATAGTAGAGTATGACATCAAAAGTGTAAAAAAGAGTCAAAGTAACAAATGACATCAAACTGTGAGAAAATGAGTCATAGTAGAGTATGACATCAAAAGTGTAAAAAAGAGTCAAAGTAACAAATGACATCAAACTGTGAGAAAATGAGTCATAGTTTAGTATGACATCAAAAGTGTAAAAAAGAGTCATAGTAACAAATGACATCAAACTAAAAAAATGAATCATAGATCAGTATGATGTCGAAATTAAAAAATTTGTCATATTAGATTATGACATCAAAAAAGTGCAAAAATATCAAATCACGTCAAAAATGTGAAAAAAAGTCATAATTTAGTATGACAACAAAAATGTTGAAATGTTAGTCATGGTATAGTATGACGTCAAAAAAACGTAAAATAAGTCATTGTATGATATAACGTTAAAAATGTTAAAATATTAGTTATTGCATGACGTCAAAAAATGCAAAAATAAGTCATAAAATGACGTTGAAAATGTAAAAAAATTAGTCATGCTGTTGACACCATTTAGTCATAAACATTGCTTGTCTCAAACAATTAGTGCTGCTGCTGCTGCTTCTGAGCTCCAACGCTCAGCAAGGCAGACAGATCTGGAGCAGAGTGAGTAGAAAAGCGTGAGGAGCTGTGTGGGCTTGTCGTCTACTTAGCCTCAGGAAGCTTCTGTGCTTGTGCGCATTTTCTTCTCATCTTTAATGTGCTTAAAAAAAATGCTTGTACTCTCATTTGTAGCGTCCTAAAAATGAGATCTTGCGTACAAAACCCATATTTTGGATGGGCGCTTTATGAAAGTGGTTGATGGGTTTATGCTTGGTTAATACTCATGTCGTGAGCTGTAGCTTTTTATTACAACAGATGGTCTCTATGGAGGAGTTTCTCTATTTAAGCAAGCTTGCCCTAGAAAAGTCTGATTATACAGAAGGCACCGCATTGCTCTGAACTAGTATGAGACTTATGTGACATAGCCTTGAATAATGTTATATTTTCACAAAAACGTTAAAGCATAGTTTATATCTAGATTAAACTGCTTTGGTTTGAGAGGGATTATTGTTAGAATAATTATAATCTGTAGGATTTCTCTATGTATTTCAGTGGATATAAGGAATAATGAAGAGCCACATTTAGTGATTTTTAACACTGTACAATGTTAAACAGTTATATTTCTCAAAATTAACTCTTTATCTTGTTATAACAGGAAACCTGTCTGTGACTGGTTTGCGGTAGAGATGTAAATCATTCATAATCTTAAACACGAGATAAATTGATTTTGGTCCTTCGGCTTAGTTTTTTGCAACATGTCCTGCTAAAACCAAGACTTTTCCATGTGGAAAGTCAGTAAATATAGATGAGCTGCTTTCCTCTGCTTACAATCTTAATTCTAAGAAAACATAATCCTCTGCATGCGGCTCTTTACAGCCAAAATGGGCACGAGATGCTTGTTTTAATCATGTGTCCTCCCCCAACCTCATTTAATATAAAAATGTATTCCAAAGATTATCCAAAGCCAGTGAGCATGGTCAGACAGAACAACTTATGTTTTCTTTTTTCAAACACCATCAGTGATTCAGAATGATTCAAGTCCGTTCTCCATGTGTGGTGACACCTTCTCGCCGATTCCCTAATTACATACGTTTCCTCTCTCTTGCTTCTACTAGAGAGGTGACTTAAGCAGCTTTTCTCTTACCGTCACGGCTGTCATGATGTCTGACCGCTGGGAGACGACTTGATCTGAAACCACTGTGTCTCATCAGCTTTGGGATGTCAAACCTGATTCAGAGAGGCTGGCTGGGACATCAGTGAGAACCTGTCAGCTCTCATCACAGTCATGCCTGTGGTAGCATGAGTTGTTTACCGACCGCACAGGAAAGCATCAGCTCCGAATCCAGCTGCAGAAAATGTGGCAAAACCTGATGATAAATACTTCCTATGACCCAAGTTTTGTACCAAAACGCAGAATAATTCATGAGAATCCTTAGGATATATTTTTATTTAGTTACTCCTTGAATAGAAACAATTAGTGCTCCTTAGATCTCTTTTCAGTTCAGTTCAAAAAGTTAAATGTCTTAAATATCTTCAGAGGTGTCGTACATACAGATGACGGTTGGCAGGAAGTGTCTCCTGTAGCAGCGTGTCTCGAAGCAGTTCTGTTGAAGCCTCTGACTGTAGCATAAGGATTTCTTGAAGAGGATGTTCAGGGTCGTCTGTAAAGTTTCTTATTTTCTGAATAATCCCCTGTAGTTCTCAGAACAGAATCTCCTCCTTTCTTACCTTGTTTAACCTTTTTAATCTGCTAGCTCTGATGCTAACAACTGTGGAGACCCTGAATCACAATTTATTGGATATATTTTTATCAAAATTTAAGTGCATGCTTAGGATATTTTAGTAGCTGCACTAAAATGTGTGCAAATTTATTAATAACTTGTGTTGGATTTAACTTTTTTTATATTTCTGTATATGTTTGAGGCAACTCACTAATATTTTAGTGCAGTAAATGTATTTTATTTTCAAACTTTGTAATTTTTGAAACAATCTCTATTTCTGAAGTTTGCTAAGTAAATTTGTGTTAGTTTTGCACCTAAGATAATAAAAGTAGCTTAAAATGTTGAATTACTTGGAAAATAAGAATTAAACCAAGGGAAGCAGTTGTTAAAAAACATAAGTTTCTCTATCTGCTTATAAAATATCTCCATCCAGTAGTTTAGGGAACATCCGCTCTTGCATCATCAGTAAATCAATAATATCTCATTTCTGGTGTCATAAAATGAGTTGGGCTGAACAGAAACTCCTCCAGTTCAAACATGCAGAATCAGCTCTTGTTTTTTTAGCATGATGTAATGCTTCTTTCCAGTATTTTACATTTGGGTTCAGACTCAAGTGAAGCTCAGTTTAATCTCTGTGCAGCAGCTCAGTGTGAAACATTTCTGACCCAAGGCTGCTGTACTGAAGGAAAGAAAAATGCAAGCTACAGTGAAAAGAAATTATTCCTTCCTTTCATGGTTTAGGAAATAAATAACTGAAAGTATTTCAAGTCTATTTCTGACCTCATGCTAAGCTTTTACATCAGATATTACAGCCCGGTTGCTAATTGTTAACAATTAGAGGTTTTTATAGATGTATAAAAAGGTTTCGGTGTGTGGGTGTGTCTGGTTGGATGAATTTGGAGGAAACTGAAGTATCCAAGCTGCGGTTTTGTTTGATTATTTATAGACCATATTTTTTCTGCTCCTTGCATTACGTCACAAGCCAAAATATTTGTCTACTTTTTTTGTGTTGGCTTCTTTCAGCGCATTATGATAATGTGATTGCTGTAGCACAACATCTGCCAGGTGCAAAACGTGTTTGTGTTCAGATGAAATCGTCTTTGTGGAAAACAGTTTCTTGGTGCAGATCCAAATTCATTAGGTGTTTAATACATAAGATAAACTGCGTCTGCAGTGTGTGTATGGAGTTGATTTTTATGCATTAGCAGGACAAAACTGTGTGTGTTGAATAAATGCCAGATATAATTGTGACCGTTACATGAGCAGCTTTTTCTATTGTCTCATTTAGTTGGTAGCCGTGGGCAGCACACACCATCTGTAAGTTTGGCCTTGTCCCACAGTCTGACACACATAATGAAAAAAAAAATACACGGAGGATGACATGTTTTATTTTGTTTGTTTTTTACATTTTGTTGCAACTAGTTGACATATAGATTTGCTCTTTCTGACTCAGTAAGTCCTGCAGCTTCTCTTCTGGCTTAATGTAGAAAAGAAAAGCATCTCAAATTGGCTGCCGACTGCTTTTGCACTGGTTGACTCGCCATACAATAACTACCATTGTCAAGTTGAGCAGAAAGCATCCAGTTGCACACAGGCAGTAAATAATCGGTGCTCCTATCTGCCGGCTGCAGATGGGAACGGTCCGGCCTGGAAACAGATTGTGAGCGCCCTCGTTCTGCTGTTTACTGCCCTTAAACATCCTGGTCCAGACGCTCGCTGTAAATGTCACTCCGTTGTCGCTCAACACACAATTAAAGACTCTCATCTGTGCTTTCAACACGTTGAATTAATGTTGTAGGTCAACAGACAGGTTTTTGTACGAATTTCATGTGAAAACTGCAATAATATGCCTCACTCGAGTGAGCAGAGATAGGAAAAGTGGAAACAAATATTGATTGTGTCTAAGTTGGGTTAGGGTTAGGGTTAGGATACCGAAGGATACTGAAGTCCTCAGAGGACATGTGATGTTGATGTGTGGTTAACTATTTTCAAAGCTGTAGACTCTGTGTCCATGTAGAGCGCTGCCAGCCTCTTCCTGTTTGCTGTGTAAATCCCTCACTGCGTTGCTTTGATAGTTTTATTGCATAAACAGGTTTACACACAGGCTTTATGTTAGTGATGACAGATTAGAGCTTCCACTTGATGTTTGATTCTTTAATTTGGTTCCTCAGGTCGCTAATGCTAGCTATGGTATGCTAGGTGATTGTAGTTTGTTTATGTCATAAATATAGTTGAAAAAATAGACCTAAAATAAGCTTATATATCTTGCTGACAAGTTACTTGTAATTTAGTTTTCTCTCATCTAAAGTGTACTAAGATATTTGCATTAGAAATTGGACAAAAATACCAAGATTTTGTGTTTTTACAGATTTTATGAATCACATCCATGGCCTTGATGAGTCTAGAGTAAACTTTAGGTAATTTCTTTGCTCAATTTAATCAAATGTTGACTCTGAATGGATAGAAGATGCGCTAAAGATTAATAATCATTTTCTATCTTTTGTAGTGGCAGAGTTCCTGACATCTCAGTCTGGATTTAAATCCTACATGAAGTAAGTGTTTCATAAGCCAAACAAAATTGAACATGAAAAGCAATTGGACTTGAAAAGTTAAACTTTTCTTGAAGCCTTGTGAGGTTGCACTGCTAATTTGCCTCTAAAGTTTCTTAAAATGGGAATAATTCATAACATCTTGAGAATAAATATGGTTTTACAGGTCAGATTTTATTTCATGTGCTTTACAAGGATATAAATAATGGCCCAAATTACAAAAATCAGTGTGCTGGAAGCCCAAGCCTATATATATATATTTATATATATATTAGTAAATCAGCAGTGATGTCACCATATGATCCATATTTTCACTCAAAATACAACCTCTACAATCTACCACTTTTTGACATGTCAAACCTTTATTTTGGTACCTTGTTTCCAGTGCCATGTACTGCAAAGTCTTTATGTATTAACAATGAGTTGGCAAAATATCTATGTACATTTTATAGTTGGATAATGTTTCATCCAAATAATACAGTAATACTGCGTTTAAAATAGTACATCTGCAAGGTAAGAGTAGAGCCCCATGAGAAATGGAGGTTGACCTGACCTAGGAATTAGCAAGCAACCTGCAACATTCACTCTCTGTACAAGTATGAACACCTAAACTCAAATTTGATTATTTTTTTTAAAGGATTGCCATCATTCTCAGGCTCAAAGTTTTTATCTCAGCATATCATAGAAAAATAATGTAACATTAAGACAACAGTAGACAAGAATTGCACAAGGATTATCATCATGGTAATATAATACTCTCATAATAAACATTAAAATGTCGGGCAATACGAATACTTTTTAACGCTAGATGCTGTTTTGTTCACATTGGTTTCTCATGACAAATCTGTTGCATCTTTAGCGTGTTGTTGCAGCAAATCCAATCACATTTACACAGTTGTGCATATGTTTTTTTTTTTTTAAATATATTCTGACATTTAAAGAAAATAAAAAGAAATCAGAAAGCCAGATATCCTGGAACCCATGCCAAAGTGTTAAACATGCCCACCGATGTCCTGTTTCCGTTTCCAGAGTTCAAGCGTCATGCCTCCCAGGTGGGCTGCACAAAACCGATCCCGCTAGAGTCGCAGACATTTGAGGTTGCTTTCAAGTAAGTGTACATTCAGAGCAGACGGGTCGTCTTATCGCAACGCTGTCCTGTTAGTGTGTGTGGATGGGTGGGAACATTTCGTAGTCAACCTCAAAACATTGTGGAGCAGCGTCCATGTTTGTTTCTAAAAAGTGAGCATGAGGGTCCGTTTGCAGTCCATTTTGCATTGTAAGAGTGACAAGGTCCATGAAAAGGGCTGGCTACATTCTTTGCATTCCACAGTAATAGACATGAGCGTCCGCCATTGCCCTGCAAAATGAGATGACATCACTTATCCAGAGAGCCCTCACACCCCGCCTCTCCACTGGCCACCTTGCTCAGCAAATCCAAAATGGCCATCATGCGTCCCACAAGCCACATGCTATACCGTCTACACCCGAGTTTCCTTCCCCATCCCTTAAATAAACTCAGAGCGCCTTCGCTTTGTCCTGGACACATAAAGAAACGTGTTGAAAAAGACCCTAGAAAAACAAAAACAGTAACGTCTGCCTGTGTCACAGGTCAAGTTTAAAGTCTAATTTCACAAAGAAATTCACAAGTTTGTTAGTTTCTCCAAAAAAGTAACTTGATATCAAGAATCGAAAAGTTAAAATACATTCTAGTAGCCTGCTAGCTGAATCAGCTTCAGTCAAAGTTACGCTGTGCTACAGCCTCTCTTCTTTAATAAAAAAATGCTGTAAAAGCTTGTTGTCCCGTTCAGACAACATCCCTCGTCTTCGTCGGTTTAACAGACAGCTAAAACACTGTTACAGCTCTCAGAGCAGTACTCTTTGTTAAATCTTTAAAGTTGTCAGAAACAGTTAGACAAAGGGGCTGGTGTGAAGAGAAAAGCGAGGGATGGAGCTTAAAAATGGAGAGATAAGAAGCTAAAGGCAGAGCAACTGAACAAAAAAACCCCAAAAAACTGAGCTGACCATCCCCCTACAGGTGGAGTCAGAAATGCACCACTACCCTGGGTTCAAAGGTCATGCGATAGCCCTGCAGGTAGGAGGACGAGGCCTGGGAGAGCAGAAAGAAAAAGAGAAGACAGCGCCAATCGTCATCATGCAGTGGACAGGCTGGGCTAACGGGGGGGGGACGAGGTGTAAAGTATTTGTTTTTCAGCCGGTGAGGTGACGCGGCGGCGTGCGTCGCTCGTGCCCAACTCCGGGGCCGGGCCCCGATACAGGGCAACTTCTGAAAGGCACACACACAGGAGTGGACAAGGCGGGTGTATGTTAGAAAATAGTGGTCTCGTACTTGGTATTGACTCCTCTCTTTGCTTCCTGTCCGGGCTCCACAATCCACGGCACGTTAGCATGGCCCTTCGGGTCCATTGACGGCTGCTCCATCTGGCGCAAGAAGACGAGAATCCAAGGCAGAAAATCAGACACAAGCTAAATAATTTCCTTTTTAACTTACAGCTTCCTCCACTATGATGAACATCCTTCAGTTTGAGAGCAAATTGTTCCTATGACTGGAACAGGGCGATCTGTCCTTTTGGAAAGTAAACAGGCCTCCACTGCTCTGAACAGTGGACATGAGCTCCACATCTTCTTTTACAGCGAGGCAAAATGAAAAAGCAGCGAATGGAAGATCTGTGATGCTGTTTCTCTTCCAAAAGTCCAAAGACCCTTGTTAGTGCATACATTTATTTACACATCTGGTGTCTGTAAGTAAAGTGAAGTCTGATAATCTAGTCAAAGGAACCAGAAACACTTGCACTGACAAAACACCTGCTATGAACATAAAGGAGTCTTTATGACTGTTGATGACACTTACTGCAAATTTTAAAGCAACTTTGCATCAAGTGTCATTATTTACCGAAAGACACTTCATGACAAGAGTCATAAACAATCATAAAGGTTCATGGCAGGTGTTAGGGTTAGGGGTTAACCTTAACTAAACTTCGACTTCTTCTATGACTATGAGGATGTAGAACTCAACCCAACAACTGGAGCCAACATGTAGTTTTTAAATTATAGATGACTTATTCTTATTTAACACGGGAACCAATGCTTAGTTTTATGCTTTACCTTTTAGTCTTTCTTTTGTATTTCCCTCTTATTCATAAAAAACACTTTGAACTGCCTCTGCTTGAAATATACTACATAAATAAAATAAAATTATCTTACCTAAATCCCCCAGGATTGAGCTCAAGAAACAGAACGCTTAGATACTTATGGATGCCCCAACTAAATATATTGCTGTTAAACTGACATTAATAATTCTACTAGATTAAAACTTTTACAACTGTTGTATTTCTGGTTTTTCAGTGGTACTATTTCAATGTTTATCTGTATGACTCTCTTTCTGTTCAGCCGCTAAAAACTGTGGGACACAAAACAGACTGAAGCACTAAAGCCGAGGCAAGAGAAATAGGTTAGCTTTTTTTTTTTTCACAGCTGTTCCTAAAATATGAATATGGATACAAGAAAGAGAACAAGACAAAGAAAACTGCAGTTTTGAATGGATAAACTGTAAGAATTATGTGGGAATAAAGAACAGAAGAAGGAAAAGTGTGAAGGACCTGGAAGTGAGCTTTGTAAGGAAGATGGAAGAGTCGAGGGGGAGGAAGAGGAGGGTGAAGAGGAGGCCGGTGGGGGGTGTAAATGTGGCCCAGCGACCAGCGGCTGGAGGGAGACATGATAACCTACAGGGGCAGAGGTCAAACTCGTCAACGTGGGCGAGCTCTACAGACACGGACATCAACAAGCGGCACTGCAAAAACTACGACGACACAGCAGCTGCACTCAGAAAAACAAAACAAAACAAAAAAAAAATCCACAGCAAAAACCAGGGCAGCAAACTCATTGTCTTGGCAACAGCGTAGGACAGCATCGTTACTGCAGTTCAGCCAAACCCAAGCTGGAAAAAGCAACGTTACGCCACATTAATCCACCAACTTCTGCATGGCAACAGCTAAAAGGACTTTGGGACGACAACGGAACAAACAGAGTTTGGGAAATTAGTTGTTGCAAGGCTGACAGAAAAACTGAAAGTGGACTTTACAATCCCAAAGCCAGAAAACCAGACTTCATGTGAATCTTTGTTTGGAAGGGAAAAATAATCAGCAGAAAAACGGCAGGTAAAGGAGCAGCTGGGCGAGCCGGAGAAAATCTACTCAACAGGCAAAATTTCTTCTAAAAATTGTAAATTAATCAGATTTTTCCAGACAAATAATTGGAAAAGCTAAATCCTTTAGAAAATGTACTTTATCCCAACCAAAAAGAAATATTTATCAAGTTGTAGACTTCACACACGTATCCACTTATATTAACATTAAATTATTTTAGCAGCAGTAGAAAAATGTATTTATTGCTGGATTCTGTTTAAATAAAAGACAAATTTCCTGCCATTTACAATCCAGTCACACAAGAAAGCAGCCATTTCTATTGGCTGGTTCGAGTTGGTGTCAATCGTTTGTGCAGCCGACCTCTCAGGTTATAAACGGCAGCGGCACAAAAAGCTGAGACAGTTTTGAGGTTGGAGGTTTTTTCCACTAAAGCTGCAAGGTGATTAAGTCTAAGTAACACCTTTTCTTTTAACAGAACCTTTGACAGTAATGTTTAACTGTCGCTTTAACGCTGATTAAATTTCTTTTTTTTTCAACATTCAGCCTTCAGATGGATTATCTGACTGCGTTTTTAATGATTCACTCTTATTATGATATTTACCAGACATTAGATTCCCGTTTTTAACTTTAAAAAAAAATCTAGTTTTCTGTTATTTGTAGTTTATTTGCTCCTCTGTTTATCCAAGGTCAGGGAGGAAACTGCAGCAGAAACCAGTTTTCTCCTCTGGGTTTTAAATCTCTCCCAAGCTTCATAAAGTCGTTAAGCCTACAAATTTCACCTGAGGGTCCTCTAACATGCAGGCATGCCTGGAAGACTTTTAAAGTTTGGAACCCAGAAGGCATCATAATGAGATCCCTGGACTACTTGGGCTCTCTTAATGAGCGAGAGTTCGACTCCAAGCTAAAAATGTTACAACAAAGATAGTTAGCAGCAGTAAGAAGTAGTAAATCATCAGCCCAGAGGGGTTATCCACCAACAGAGGGCGATAGAGAGGGGACAAATCCAAGCTGGCAAATAACAAGCGTTAATTTTATGCCCAAAATAAATTAAGAAGTCAATATCCCACCCAGTTCTGTGTTTATAGCAATTATTTGTGGAGTACTTGGCAGCCAAGAAGCTGAGTTACCATGACAGACTACAGCAGCTATGCAACAAGCCTGTTTTTATAGAGCTGGCAAGCCTTTCCGTCCACGTTTGGATACAGAATTACACGTCAGTCTTAAAATAAAATAGACTCACATTACTGGTCTGTAATTGTCTCGACTAAAAGAAGCAGCGACGTTGCATCAGGGGCCTAACTTTACAGATCTGCAGACTCTGTAGAGGAAGTGCTGCAGTGTTTTCACACCACAAGCCTTTAACTAGACCATATACACACACGTGATGAAAAAAAGCTACATATAATATTTAATGTAGTGGTTGCAGACTCAGCAGAATGTGTGTACATATGGCGTCATCCATCATCCCTACTGTAGGCATATGATCACTCGCAGATACAGCATGTGGGCTCATTAGCCGTCTCTTCTCTCCTCTCGCTGCTCTTTCAACAACATCTCACGTCTAAGTTTGGACAGTGAGGCTGTCCCTCTGACACCGCGTTCGCCACCATCACGCTGTGTGCGTTACGGCCTAAAGCGTCCTCAGAAACCAGACACCGAGCCCGAGGACCCGCGTGCGGCTGGCTATGCTACTGCGGCTATTTTAAAACGCCAGCGGCGGCTAATGAACTGTTGACACACTCACTTTGGGTTGCTGTGACTACAAGAGGCAAGCCACTTTTATACAAGAGTAAACAACAAAACCTGATCTGACCACTTATGATTAAAAATATCTACTTCTGTTGTTTTCATCTTATTTTCCTCTTAAGATTAGGATGCGTAAAGTGTTACCAGGGTTGCCAGGATAACAAACGCATCACCTATATTTTCCCTCTTAATGAGGATCTAAAGGACTGACAAGTTTGGGTTGTTTTTGTCTTGTTTTTACCAACTTATCACCAGGGTACATTACATTCTTTAAGCGCACAACTCGCCGTATACAAACCCAGAGTGAGCAAGCAAGCCTCCGAGGAGCGAAACGCAACCAGGCCTCATCAATCAGTCGAGTGTGTAAGAGACTGCAGGGACAGCAAGACCGAGTGGAAGCTTAACAGATTAAATATCCACATAAACCTTTGCCACATCGTCCACCGGGCCGGGACACACAGAAGACAAAAGCAGCACAAGATCGGGACTGAGAGGTGAAGAAGTTGGGAGTGAGCAGGGAGGAGATGTGAGGATGTGTCGAAAATGGAGGTTAATAGAGTGATGTTAGTGTTGCATCAAAAGCTAATAAAACAGCTTAACTTGAGTTCAGGGGAAGAAGTGAAAATCCATCCGAACAAAGAGTGATCAAATTTAAGCTACTTTTACTTCATCAAATGTAAATTTTTTTCATGGTTCTGGATGGATTTTCTCTCGCCGCCTCATCGATGCTTACTGATTTGCGGATGTTGACGCGGGGCTTGGGCACGGGCTTGCCGGGTTTGCTGTCGAAGCTTTCGGGGAGCGTCGCCGAGCCGTGGCCGCTCTTCCTGGCTTGCAGAGCGAGCTGATAGGCCACCTCAAAGGCCTGGCCGAGCGTCAGGATGATCTCATAGGCCAGATTCTGAAGAGAGAGGAAACATTTGTGAGAACAGGAAGGTAAAAACCACAAAGTGCTTGTAAAGCCGCAGCGTCAGGACTGACCACGTCGAAAGCAGTGAAGACATGGCAGTAGTGGTGACTGGATTTGAGGTCTTTGGTGATGTAGGCAAACGTAGACAGATCTTCTGGATCCTGAGCTGCACATGAGATGTTACGGATCTCGTGCTCCGCTATGATGTTCTACAGAGAGGAGAGGATGAAGAGCTTAAAAAGATGCAGTTTTTTCAAAGAAACACAAACTGGTTTATTATTTATCCCACAATCATAATTAATATTGCAGAGTATCGGTTTTAAAGTTTTGGAAGTGACTGCTGGTATTCCTTTTCTGGTTTAATCAGCACTTTGTGTTGTGTTAATTAAGGTAATAAATTATACATCATCTAAGGGATGGATTGTTTTTTGTGTGAAGTTAAGAATATTTAAAAGTTACACCAGATTTTATTTAGAAGAAAGATAGAAATACTTATTGTGAGGTAATATCAGTGGGAGACATTTCACTCAACATCAGGTGAACTTTTGGTTTTTGACACAGGAAATTAAGGATCGCAGTAAAAATGTAACATATTTATCACTGCTTTTGCAAGTAACGTGGTTCAACTCTACAGATTACAGTGTAATCTGTTTTGTCCATAATCTGTTGGCATAACAGATTCTATTTACACCTTATAGTCTGCATATTTCCCTCCAAAATAGATGATACTACTAACTTTTTAGAGTTTTTAAAGACTGGAGTTGGGTGATCACAGATGTATGTCTGTATGTATGTTTGCTTTAAAACTACAATAAATATTATAACCAATGAACAGCTGCAGAAAGGACACCCAGACAGATCAAAAAAGTATTTTTGTAATTTTTAACTTCTTCCATTCACTATGTTTTTGACCCATACTGTTTCTCCATATCTGTTTTGACTTCCTGTGTCAGAAGTTTTAATACGTCACTAAATTTTACTTGCTTGGTAAAACTGTTAGATGACTGTTATTTTTACACTACAGATGTTTTAGTGTTTATTCCTGAGATCCTCCTCATCGTTTCCCTAAAGACTGAGGCTGAAGAATAAAGCAAACTTCCACACTTTGATCCTGTTTAGAGTCAGACATGACACCTCTGAATGCCACTCTTCCCTTCATGTTCGCTGACCTTTCATGTGTTATTTAGCGTAGGCGTCGCTGGGACAGCGCGCCGTTACCTTATTGGTGGCGTCGATGAACTTCACTCCCTTGTAGGACACGGAGAGGACGATGGTCGGCACTTTCTTCATCTGTTCCGTTGACTTCTTGGAGGGCACGGGAGATAAAATGCGGAAACAGAAAGAAGAGGCAGCTGTGACTTTTAAACCTTGCATCAGTTTGCATCAAAACATCGCGCCATCTGAGAAAGTTCATTCAACTGAGTATCGACGGCTTCCTCCTCCGTTAAAAGCATATCATCTCCAGGAGAACCAACAGAGAATAAATTTTAAACCAAATCACCATCAGCAGGCGTTTTCTATACCACTTGGCACTTCATTAAGCCCCTGCAGTATATCTCACCTCGTTCTTTTTAATTACGCACACATACTGAAGAGATTATGCAGCAAAGAGCTCGACCTGCCAAAAGCTGTTATATATTCAAAGACGTGACAGAGTACTTCCTCTTTTTTTCTTTCGTCTACATTTTATAAATAATTTGTCCTTCATCAGAGTCTACTGCCTGATTTATTTTCTATACCTATTAGTTTTCTTGTTCTAGTTCATCCTCTGCATGAACAAGACAGGATGAAGCCGGTGACGAACAGGTTATACCAAAAGATCTGCCAACAGCAGCTCCATTTTGCCTTTCCTGGCTCGTCTGTGAACGTGGAAGTTAAACGTCTCTGTTTCTACCGAGGGATGGATAAAAGGAGCTGCTGGGACAGGTGAGGCAGGTGGAGGTACATTAGCAATGTGCATCTCATTGCACTTCCTTTGCAACCTTGACGTGTTGCAAAGGGGTTGGCCGAGCAACGCTGCAGAAAGTTGAGAGGAAAGATGCTGCAATGAAAGTGGAGAAAAGAGAACGACCCGCTGTTCATGAATTTTAAACGCGATCTTTACACTGCAGCAGCTCAGAAAGACAGAAGAAGTTTGTGTTACAGTAGACAGACAGTAAGAAACAATAAGCTATTAGAAAGAGGTATAACCAATGATAAAACATTTATTTTTAAAAAGAAGGAGACAATTAGATCTATTTTTTGGGTGGATTAAAGCTAATAGCACAATGTTCCAAAGGTAATATAGGTTTAATGGAAAAGTTATTTGACAGGAATGTTTATTTTTAGGCCTTTACAAATATGACTCAAACATTTCCCGTTGGCATCTTGTTGTCGGTATGCAGCCTGTAAACCTGCAGGTTAAAACGGAGAAAGGAAATGCATCAGAATGAGCTTTACCCTCATTTTAGCGCAGGCATCTTGTGTGGACTCCGTCCCTCTCAGCTCTTTCACCAACATAGAGCCCAGGTACTGCAGAAAACACAAAACAAGCTGTTAGCTTGATTGTCAGCACCAGATTGCAGCAGCCTAATTAAAACCCTGCTGGATGCACTGACAGGTCAACAAACACAGTTAAAAGACAAACAGATTGCAAAGTTTCATTCCATCATTATTCTTACATCTAAAAAGTTTTGGAAACCTGATTTTTATTACAGTCAATTTTGCATCAAGCATCAACCCAGACTCATGCTCCATTGTAAGACCAACATGAGGAAGTGACTGTGCAGCTTTGACCATGATGATGATAAAACAGTCAGAGCCGTCCGCCGGTGATGAACGGACCGTCCTGCTGACATTAACGGCACCAGCAGGATTCTCTCTGCCTGGATCCTGAGTACCTTGGTGGAATACAAACTTTTACTTCCCAATAATTCATATTTTTTTTTTGTGTTTTTGTCTGTAGCTGGACTAAACTATTTAGTCCAGCTAAATAGTTTTATTAGATACACACAAACACTGACAGCTGTGATTACATGAACCTTACAGGCTGCCGTAGCTCCAGAAGTGCTGCTTTCTGTCTGACCCTTCAGTCGGAACAAGCAGAATATTATTTAAAACCATCTGCTAATAGTAACTTTGTATTTAAACAAAAAAAAATCTGAACTTCTGCTTCCTATTGGTGTAAATATGTTGTGGCAAAAGTTCATTTCTTGTCACTAATAAGATTGAGCTTCATAAATCATGTAAAAAAAACAAATAAAAATTTATAGTCAGCAATAGCTAAAACATTTAAAACCACTAGAACAAAAAAGACTGGACAGAAAAGGTTTATTTGTGAAGGAGAGGGATGATGCTGGAAAATGAGTAATGAGAATATTTGGATGATTATTGTAAATAAGTCTAGTTGGAAAATTGAGAACAAAACTGGAGAAGTGAGACAATCGAGGTTGAGCAAAAAGTCATTAAGTTTGTATTAGATCTTTATTTTTAAAAAGTGACACTTCAGTCTCTCTAAGTCTACATTCAGTCGTGAAAAGCAAGTTTTTATTACGTTTTCTCCGTCTTGTGAATGCAATAAAAAAGATTCTACTATGTTGGATTTATCGTCCAAAGTTTTAAGTGTTTTTCCACTGTTATTGCTTGGATTATATTGACCCTAACGATGGTGCTAATAATGTTAGCACGACTTCGCTAAATTGGGAGCTGATATATTTCCTATGCCGTGGCTGTAAGCTAACATAAAAAAGACGCCGTCAGAGTCGGCGCTGCAAGCAGCCAATTGCGTTTCGTTTGTTCAGCGCTGAAAAACAAGAACTGATTCTTGCTTTTTACCATCCGTCCATCAAAACAGACATAAAGCCGCCTTATCAGTGTCTTTTCCATCCAATTTATTTCTGTCCATCCTTCAGCTGCTGGCACATTCACTCCAATGTGGCTCTCGCTCATTTATCTCATTTCTGAGTTTCCTTTAGCCTGCTGGACAAGGAGCAGGGATCTGGAGGTTCTGTTTGAAACCAGGTTCCCCTGCATATTCCTACAACTGGGAACTGAAACATACAACTTCCTAATGGTCCTAAAGCTAAACGCTGCGCTATTTATACCATAAAAATGTTTTAAAAGCCCAAAATAGATTCACATTTTTACTTTGCGTCTCTATCACTTCATTTAGATTAACAGTAACTACAGTTTTTAGGAACTAATTATTTGTAATCTATGACTCTCCAAGTTTGTGGGACATAAATATAACATGAAGACACAAAAGCCTAGAAGAGAACAGTTTCTTCCTGCAGCCACACAGAGAAGATGATGATGATAAAGGCAGAAGAGAAAAAGTGTGTAAAGCTCACTGTACACACTTATAGAAAATGGGGTCACCAAGTCTCCATAGCAACATTAAATACACCAAATGGCTGTTTGGAGAGCAGCAGAAAAAAAGTCACCATCACAAATGTTTACATTTATGATGGTAGGACTGTGCTAAACTCAGACTGTCCCTTTGACAGCTGAGATGCTAATAATGGTTCCACTAATAATTTTCAAAGTTTTCTAAAATGTTCAGTGTGTAAATATGCTAATAAAAAAAAAAAAAGCTGGCAGAGTTTTTACACATCTTTACCTGAATTGCTCAGTAATGTTGCCCTTCTTAATAAACTCGTCAGTTTCTTGTGTGAACCGTGTCATAAAATGGGTTTTTCCACCAGTCGTGGTTTCATCTGTGTGAGCAAACATTACTGGTGAACACGGCCAGCTCCAGTTGGCTCAAAGAGAGGTTTCCCAGTAACATGCTGGGATTTGGAGCAGCAGCTTGATTTCTGTCAGCTCTGAAGTTGTTAGAGGAGATGGTTCTGCTGATACCAACATTTTAGTTGAGTATTTCACCTAATGATTACTTGGTATTCTCTTTGCCGATTGCACAGTCAGTTCAAAGTCAAACTTTTCCTCCAAACAAAGATAATATATTTTAAAATCATGCCTACATTTCAACAACGCTGACTCCGGTCGACTTGTGCAAAATATTAAGTTAATTTACTCCCCTGTATGTGTTGGAGATCTGTAATTTATGCCTTCTCTGGCAGAGCTGCATTGGATTTTTCCTCAAATTAAGTCCATATAAGCTTTTCCATTTATTTAATTCATGCGCTGACACTGATTTAGCTCATAACTGTTGTATATCTCCTCTGAAACGCTGTCAAATCAATCACAACAATTTTATTTGAGAGATCCACTTACATTTCCTCTCAATCTTCCTAAGATTTCATTTCTCTCTGCAGTGGTTTTCCTGCAGCGAGTCAGAAATCATTTTCAGTCCGGATGCTGGGTGTATAACTGCAAAACCCTCGAGAGGTTCGCGGCTCTTTCTGCGCCTTTACAGAGATGAAACATCTTTTATGTGACCAACTGAAGGTCTGCATTTAAAAAAAACCGGCTGAAGGTGAAACAGAGGGAAGCTGATCTCCAGGGTTCAGTCAGCAGAGAACTGAGAATCAACAGGAAACAGTTGCCTTACTCAAGAAAAACTAAATGAAATGTCTAATTGTTTTTACTATTGTGCTGTAAACAAAGGATCTCATACATTTCTAAGCATATTTTGTTTTATTTCATTCTAGAAATTACAAAAAGTGACCAATTTTCTCCAGTCAATCAAGAATAAAGTGGTGTAGCCAATACCTGGACAGATCATATACAGTATTAAAGCCACTTAAAATGGTCTGCATATTATTTAGGATTATTTTTTAAATAAGACAAAGCCAATATTTGTGAGTCAAAAATGTTTAAATGACTTTAGAGTTGTTTGGTTGTACTTGAACGCAACATGCCTTTTGATTTTCACATCGACTGATTTTTCTCTTGTACTCCAGATGCTTATATTTGAATTGAAGATGTTTCAAGTGGGTAAATTAAGTTCAATAGAGTGAGTTATGCTGGCATAAAGCTTTGGTTTGATTGGTTCCATTTCAAATGTCTCTGTAGCTCAATTTCCTTTAGCTCTGCATATAAATGTTTTCCATGGTTCTGGTCTGTCTGTTGACACAGCAACTTCTTTTGGTAGTTTTATGTTCATGTTGACATAAAGCATTCCTTTATTGGAGGATGAAACACAGTCGGATGTTGAATTTTTGCATCACCAACCCAAATCTGCAACCTGAGCTTTGTTGAAAATGTAAACATTACGCAAAACCTTTGGGAAAATGCCAGAAAATCAACTAACTTAACTTTACCAGAAATGTTTGTATCTGGGTGTAACGTTCTACATAACATCTAATGCTGATGGGGTTACATGTGCATTTTTGACTCTGTGTAAGAACCAGGTTAAAGGGTTTGGACTCACGTAAGCTTCGTAGTCACAGGACTGAAAGATGAGCTTCTCTGGATGATGCTGCCAGTACTGAACGGGAGTGGAGGACGTCGCCTCGTTGGGCGGACGCAACGTAATCGGCTCGCACCATTCGCCAGCCTGAAACGACAAACAAACACTAACATTGATTGCTTGAACACATTTTTCTGCCACAGCTGCACCAGATGTAAACTGGATGTTCCGACATCTGAGAAGATGCGACTCCTCTGCATGTTCTCCTACTTCAGCTTAGCTTAAGAGTCTTTGCTTTGTCGACAAGCGAATTTCTGAAATCCAAACTACATCCATCTCAAATATTTGGACTTATGAAGCTTATCGTTGAGTCCATTCCTTTATAATTGAATCCAGATTATTACAGCCTGAGAATGTATTCACAAACCCAATGACTGTTGATGTTTGCCAGGAATGTGGAGAGAAGGTTTTCAAACTTCCTCCGGCCAAATTCAACCCCCTCATTGTTCAGCTTTTATTAAAGTTGTTAAAGAACACTGTAAAGAATGAAAACTTAGTCGTGTCTTAAAATATATCAGCTGTAATAATTGCTCTCCTGGTATTGAGGCAACTGATCTCAGCAACAATGCAGGAGCAACAACAGGTGCAATGACAGAAGATCCTTCCTCTCTCCTGTCACAGTTATCTCTCAATTCATGCAAAGCTGACTCATCAGCGCCACCTCAGCGCCGTTTAACAGAGGAGATGCACGCTGACGCACACACACACACACACACACATCTGGGATTCAGACGCACAACCAGAAGTGTGTTATTCTGCACTGATGAGCTCCGTGATTCACCAAAAGACCCCAATCATAGGAAATCAAAACACAGCTGCCGTGTTTGATGTGTGTCTGAATTACTGCACTGATTAAAAGTCAAAAGATCTGAGTTTCTGGTTTGGATGCAATTAAAAGTTGTTGGGGAAAAAACAAAAAAAATATTAATTTGGTGACAAATATCTATATATACAACCGAAAGGAGAAAAAAAAATCTACTCTATAAAAGTCTGTGTGCTTTTCTAATATATTTGGATGTTTTAATACAAATTTTAACAAAAATTAGCAATTGAGGGAATATAAATCAACATATTCTGAAGAAAGAACATTAAATAAGAACAATAGTAAGTGCTTCTGGACATATTAAATGAAATTCTTATTTTGATGTTCTTCTAATGTCTAAAATAATAGACTTGTCTGACAAAAGTTCTGAAGCAACATTTCTAAGGATGTGTGCACCTTTAGATCCACAGAGCGACAGAATGGTGACTAGCAGCTTATGGGTCTGATAGGAGCTTTAAAACTGGAAACATGTGAAATTAACCATTTCACCACCTACAATCAGTATATTCAAAAAACACTCAGAAATTTGTCTGTAAACGCAAGTTTACCCTGAAAGCAGCCTGCAAGGTGATAAAAGGAGTCTTAAAAAAACCTTAAATGTCATTATGGCTCCTTCATGCTGCTGCTATTTACATACAAATGCACGTCTGTATAATCAGAAAGAGATTGACGATAATTAACAAGAAAGCTAAAAGAGACAAGTTGAAATAAAATATTAATAAAATAATTTAGTATTACGAGAAAAAGGCACAAATGATTATACTAATTGTAGTCTGTAAAAGGATTAATTTTCTCCAGTAAACATGTGAACCATTAATGGTCAGAGTTCCTAACCAGTCCCTCCATTCATCCCTCCATCCTCACCATGCTGACTTGAGCCATCTGTCGCTCCAGCTTGGATCGCGGCACGTCGTCAAAGTAGTTCTCGGTGCTGCGCTGCCTGCGCCGCGCGTCCGCCTGCATAATGAGGTGCTGCACGTCCAGCGAGCCGCCGGGGACTCCCGCCGTATACGCTGCCTGGCCTACCGAGGGGCTGAGCTGGGGAGGAGTGTGGTTTCCTCCAGGCTCCTGGAACAAAACCCAACACAGGAAGCGAGCGTGAGCGGCGACCTCCATCATTTAATAACCTGATTTCCCATCAGAGGCACAAGGATTTACCGTCTTTCTAAAGTACTTCATAAACTACTGCTTGGAAAACTGGAAAATAAGAGGAAGAATAATCATTAAAACCTAAGAGGTTCTGAAGGGATGGATGTTTTTTCTTACAGGTCCATTTCTGCAAAAGTCTAAAATCCAAACTCCATCTACAGAGTAGTGACTGTGTCTGATGGGTTTTCTATCATTCCTTCTACTGAGCTGCTTACACGCTACAAGATGATGAATCTTACACTAATCATCTTAACAGACTCATATATTATAATCTAATACATCCAATATAATCTGCCGTCAATCATAAGTGGCATACATATATTTGTAATCACTGCAGAGCTGAAATGTCTTGTTTATCGAGTACAAATGAGGCCTTTTCTCTATAAGTGATCAACACATCAGCATATTTTTCTACTTTGCCAAAAAAGTGAAGTGAAGCAGCAAAAATAATAAGAAATTTCTTCTAGTTTGTGTTTTAGCTCCACTGTTCACTGTGTAAAGGGTTCAACTGGGTGGAATTACTCATTCATTACTTCCTCTACAGACACACACACACAAACACACACACACACACACACACACACACACGCACGCAAAAGGAAGAGCGTCTTTATGGTGACATACAGTGTTGTTATGACTGGAGAGGAACAGGCTGGGCATTCAGGGACTGTTTGGTGATGACATCACCAGCAGCAGGATTTATCTTCACAACACATTTAGAGAAATACAGTCATATTTACTCTATCAGTTTAGAATTAGTGCATTAATACTTATTTTAATTGAATGGTCTGATGGAAGGTTTCAGTATGGAAAAAGTAAATGTATGAATTTAAAAGCTGCATTCAGATATTCCATCTGCATAATATCCATCTCATTTATCCATCCATCATCTGTAAATCCATCTTCATTATTAATCTGTCATTCTGCTTGTCCATCCATCTGTCAATATATTTATCCTCTAATCCATCCCTCCATTTGTCCATTAATTAATCCATCTGTTTTTCCTGTTTATCTCTCCCTCCATTCATTCATGTGTCTAAGATTTTTAAGTCCACTCTGATCACAGGTTCAGATTTTAAAGGATTTTCAGCCTCAAGTTGATAGTCAGATTTTATATTTATACTTTAGCATTTGGCTGAAGAAGGAGTGGGAAAGTTAAAATGTGTTCACTGTGTTTCCAGCTGTGCCATCCTTACCCGTAAGGAAATGGCCCGGGGAGGTTTCTGCGGCGTGTCGTCGTGCAGCCGGTCCCCCAGTGATGCCAGGATCCGCTTTCTGTGCCCGATAAGGTTGATCTTCAACACCTGAATCCATACAGAGACAGCAGAGCGTTGAAAAAGAAACTTCCACAGACGTGAGGTGGAAAGAAACTGATCGGGAACTTTTAGGAGATTTACATTTCAACACCCAATGCTGGAAATTAGATGCCAAAGATGAAAGTTTATGGAAAACTAATGACTCTTGTTTTAATTTACATAGATTAAAGGTTAAATGCATCCTTTAAGAAGTACCGGTAAGAATAAAATAGTTTTGAGAGTAAACAATTAGTTATTTCTGCATATTTAACAGTTACCAGGGTTTTTCTTCAACCTGACCTCTGGATGGCTTTAAATTTCCTACAGCTTTTTATTTCATCTCGTTTCCACACCAAACAATTTTTATAAAATACATCAAACTGAAGCATTTTATGAACCTGTACCTTTACTGTCTGAAATGTGTCTTTGGATGTTCATGAAATGTTTGTTTACACAGTCATTGATTAGGAGTTGAATTAAAAGTATTTCTAAATCACTGAGATCATTGCTGTGAGAGACATGAATTCAAAGAATACATTTTCATCTCACCTCCCATCACAGAAACTTAATTTCATCCTATATTGACAAAAATAATTTCATAAAGATAGATCATTTTAAACACCAGCTTATCTGTTCTTCTACTTTCTGACTGAGGTTCTCGTAGGACTATTGGTTCCCTGAAGAGATCCGAGTCGAACAACATGAGATTGTAACAAGCTGGTAATTGTCTCTATATTCCCGTCTTGAGGCGCTCATTAACCAGACACAAACACAGAATCCTTCATTCTGCTCCTGGTGGCAGCGCAGGCTGCCGGTGCCAGGTACCGAATCCTCTACAGAGACAAGCAGGGTCTCTGCAAGGATGTCGCTGGCGCCATCTGCACCTCCTGGCATCGCAAGGAAATTCAGCAAGCTTTTATATAACAGCTGCTTGAAGTCTTCCAAAAGGCATGAAAAGAAGGCTGCTTTGCATAAATCACGACTCTACATCTGTTAAACAATCGGCACAATCACAATGACAAGTTTCTCTAACAGAACATGGACACATTTTTTTAAATAATATATTTTACCATATTTAATTCCAGTTAAACTAAAATGCTTTTCACATCTGTTGTTTCTCATCCAAAGCTTGTCAAGCTCGACTGCAAAGCTCAAGTTTCTCCCGTTTTCTTTATTTCAAAAATCCATGCAATTATAACCAAAGCTTTCATCACAGAAATGTATTTTTTGAGAAAACGGCCAAAACGATGATGGCCAATAAAAAAGGTTATAAAATCTTCTGCCTTTATGGCGCCTCCTGTGGCTGTGGGGCAGCAGCATGACTCAGTTCTCACAATTCTGTTTCATCACGGGTTAATAATTACTCACACACACACACACACACACACACACACACACACACACACACACACACACACACACACACACACACACACACACACACACACACACACCCACACACACACATCCAGAATAAAGGCGCAGTAATTGCCCCGCATGGTGTGAACCGGTGTGCTACTTGTTGCCTTATGCAACAGCATCACTTCAGATCCACCAGAAGCCTCAACCTCAGCCTGGGGTTCAATTCTCACCATAGCAACAATGGTTGCTGCAGCAGTCACCCACACACACTCTCATCCCTCTTTAAAAAAACAACCAGAAAAAAGAAAAGAGAGAAACGTGTGCGCGCTCGCTCTCATGGAAACAGCCGAAACAGCTGTTAAAAGTGAGGGGGAGAAGATTATATTGTTGCTCTTCAATGGATGAGAATGAACTATTATTAAAACACACACTCCAGAACTGCTACATCAGCCCATTTCCATTTAAATGATGTCTGTGCATACTCATGTGTGACACTTGTGCAGCCATGTAATCCTAACAGAACAGCTATTCATTAAATCTAAACTCCATTCGCATCAACAGGAGACACAACCTTGACAAGGTGACGCTTGAACCGTCTGTTCCAGCAGCGTAATAATAACTGGAGGAAAAAACAAAGCAGGTACATACGATGCTATTAGAAGTATTCAAGAAGTTTTCTCTGTTTTGTCACATTAAAATAAAGCTTTAAAGCTTAATAAACGTGAAGTAAAAAAGAAATGCGTGTTTATTTTCAGTGCCTCTAAGACACGACTGTCAAACTCCATTTTATTTTGGGCCAAATCAAAACTCTGAATGTTTTTAAAGGGCCAGTTGCCCTTTAAGAACATTGAATGTATGGATAAAACCAAATAAACTATTAAAATGTTAACAAATCGCTGTCCCTCCAGGACTTTGATTGTTTTGTTTTTTGTAATCAAAATCACAAATTTTGTGGTGCTAATTTAGACATTTTTGGAAGGAAATTTTATGATATTCGCATTACTGTATGATTTTAAATGTGACTTTATTCCTCGCTGTATCAATCAAGGAATGTAACTTGACATCAAGCAAGGCTAAGGCAACTTAACTTAAACCCAATATTAACAACTTTGACAAAAATGTTCATTTGAATCAGAAAAAATGTGGGGATCTGTTGATTTTGTGTTATATTTGCAGATTTGTGAATAACTGGAGGGACTTATTGATGTAATTTGGAGTCTAGAGGGCCACACAAAAAGCTACAGCGGGCCAGATTTGGCCCCCAGGCCTTGATTTTGACACGTTTTGTAAGACAATATATTGCACCTGCCTGGTCGTAGAGCAAAGCAGCCAATCATGGAGCGCCATTCATCTTCCTTGCTTTTAATTGGCTCTTCCCACAAGATCGAAGAATAAGACTGTGCATATTAGCTTCTGGAGTCATGCTGAGATGATTTTCACTGTCTATACTGATGCATATTAAGGTACATGTGATGTTTTTGCTATTAAAACAGGAAGGTATGAGTAATGTAACAGGGAAGTTTCAGACATTTGCAGATTTCAGCTATTTGTAGGGAGCTGTGGTCTTGAGCCCCGCAAATACCCAAAGTCCACTGTAGTTTGGTCTCAATGTTAGGTTTACTAAGTTACCACAGTCCTGACAAAACATTAAAGCATTCAAATGTAATTAAATAACTTTTTAATGCTCTAAACAGAATAACCTGAAAGGTTTTAATAAGATTTCCTTACCTAACAAACATACAGAGATGAAGAAGTCATGACTTGTTTTCACCGTTTGGCACACAGAAATGTGAAACAGCGGTTAACTGAGCTGCTTCAGTCCACCGGCGCTCCTGGTGTTATCGCCGTAGTATGAAGTCATCTGGGTCACCGTTTGCTTCCTCGGTTCTGCTGAGCTCTTCTGTGTGTCTTCTTTGTGCATCAATCAGGGCGCTAATCCTGTTAGCGGCCCCGCTACCCCAGATTGAACGTGCCCGATTAACAGATTAGCCTCCATGCAGTTAACGAACACACGCTTTCACTTCTTCCTGCTGATTTTTTTTCTCAATCACTGAAAAGTAACCTTCAAGTCATTTAAGTTGGCGATCAGGATGTAGGAGCAGGAGGATTTGTTCTGCTCTGATTGTGAATAAAGTGGGTCATTTTAACACCTTCTTTCAGGACAGTAAAACAGGGAAATCACAAGAACAGACCTTGGAAGCCTAACGATGATGTTTTATTTTGAAAGGAGAACAGAACCCGTCAGATCGAGGTGCATTCACAGTGACCTCTGGCTCGGGACGCTGGAGACAAAAAGCCTTTTCTGTGCGTCTTACTGGAGGGGACGCTGGAGCTGGTGGGTTTACTGGAGCGTGAAACACCGAGGGAACCGACAGTCCAGCCTCTGTTTGTGCTCTAGCTAGCACATGGTTTTAATGATGGGAGAAGGAAGACGTGAACACTTTCCCCCTCAGTCTCTTTAATTTACAGACTCACCAAACTGTTCATCTTTTACCCTCATATTTTCTTTCTTTACACCTTCCTTCGCTTTCTGTCCAGATTCTCTTCACCTCAACCCACCTCATTTGCCTGGTTTATTCAAATCTTGTCTTCTTTGTTATCTAGTTAATCTAAAAAGTTGGGAAAAAGACAAGGTTTCACAGCACCATTCACCCATAAAATCTGGCCCCCATTGCCACATCTTTGTTAGATTTTAGATTTACCTTCTCTTTACAAGACTGCAAGGTTTAGTTCACTGCAACATCAACAACACCTGCAGCATCTGATGCTAATGGAGCAATTGGAGTTGAAACCTCTGAAGATTCCTCCATTGATTCCTCCAGATCAAAGTATCACCGGCATAAGCTTACTTTAATTGCCTTGGTCAGAATGCATTACAGGACAACTGAGTGGTAGTATTGATCAGTAAATAGCTCAAGTCTGTCTGAATGCAATTTTAGAACCTGATTACATGGCTTCAGAAACACAGAGGTGACTTGTCTTTTAAGAAAACCAGCTAGCGTCGCTTTAGAGCAGGTTTCAACCAGATTAAACTGAGAAATGGTAAACTAATGCTGAAATATTCACCTATCGAAAGTCTTCTGTATTGCTGTATTTCGGTTGTACTTGGAAGTGGAAAATTCAGACTTCATAGCTGAAAAAAGATCAACTGGAACTCCCTCTGAAGTCAGGACTTTCCACTGGGGAAACTGGGAGAAACTCCAACTGCTTCCAGTCACGACTTACAAACAAACTTTGCATTTCAACATGGCCGCTCCTCGTGTCAACAGCAGTAAAATGTGGTGGAAACATTCAGTTTATTAAGGAAACATGTAAAAGTGTATCCTAAATCAATGTTTCATGCAACTCTAAACTGACTCTGGCTCTTGAAAACTGGAGTTTAATAATTTTAGGTTGTAGCGATTCAACACCATGTAATTCTCTTCAACCAGGATGAAAGTAAATATTAAAGATCCTCTTCCTGTATAAAAGCACTCATCTAATTTGCTGACTCAAGTTTGCGCATTAGCTAAAGACATTTACATTTACAAAAACGACTCGTGTCTCGTTTTTCATCCCAATCATTGACATTTTCCTGACCCTAAATGCTTAATCACAGCCGTTCTCCCGCTCGTTTGTTTTCTTATTGTTCCTCTGAGCTTTCAGCT